AAAAAAAAAAAAAAAGGCTGGGCAAAGTGGCTCACGCCTGTAATCCCAGCACTTTGGGAGGCCAAGGCGAGTGGGTCACCTAAGGTCGGGAGTTCAAGACCAGCCTGACCAACATGGAGCAACCCCATCTCTACTAAAAATACAAAATTAACCAGGCGTGATGGCACATGCCCGTAATTAGCTACTCAGGACACTGAGGCAGGAGAATCACTTGAACCCGGGACGCAAAGGTTGTGATGAGCCGAGATCATGCCACTGCACTCCAGCCTGGGTAACAAGAGCAAAAGTCTGTCTCAAGAAAAAAAAAAGAAAAATGCGATGGGGTCTCGCTATGTTACCCAGGCTGGTTTCAAACTCCTACACTCAACTGATCCTCCTGTCTTGGCCACCCAAAGTGCTGGAATCATAGGTGCAAGCCACTATGTCCAGCCATAAGCACCTATTTTAAGTACCTAGGACACTTGAATGGACTTGGCCTGGCACCCTATTAACCTGCTGTGAAATTTGTATTTTGCCTTTAACCTCTACCTTGGATTTCATCCCAATGTTAAGTCACAGCCTAATTCAGAATTTTATATTTACACATGCACGCACGCACACACACACACACACACACACACACTCTCTCTCTATTATTGCTACATTAATATGCCATGATTGATAAGTAACCTAGAGGATGACGATATAGCCCATACATCATTTTGCATGATTACAAAATATTAAAGAAACTAACTGTTGGCCGGGCGTGGTGGCTCACGCCTATAATCCCAACACTTTGGGAGGCTGAGGTGGGCAGATCACCTGAGGTCAGGAGTTCGAGACCAGTCTGACCAACATGGAGAAACCCTGTCTCTACTAAAAACACAAAATTTGCTGGGCGTGGTGGCACATGCCTGTAATCCCACCTACTTGGGAGGCTGAGGCAAAAGAATCACTTGAACCCGGGAAGTGGAGGTTGCAGTGAGCCAAGATCGCACCACTGCACTCCAGCCTGGGGGACAGAACGAAAAACCATCTCAAAAAAAAAAAAAAAGAAGTAACTGTCACAGCACGTGACATTTGGGGGGGGCGGATTTCAAATTTTTTACAGAATATATTTAAGCTGGCCCAGTGTTCAGGTGTTAACAATAGTACTCTCCACTCAACAAACCCCCAGCAAGAGGCAACAAAACAGTACAGTTAAGAACACGGGTTTTGGAGCCATGTTCTTTCTTTTCTTTTTTTTTTGAAACAGAGTCTTACTTTGTCACCCAGGCTGGAGTACAGTGACACATCCTTGGCTCACTGCAACCTCTGCTTCCTGGGTCAAGCCATTCTCCTGCCTCAGCCTCTCAAGTAGCTGGGATTACAGGCATCCCCTACTGTATCCAGCCAGCTTCTGTATTTTTAGTAGAGACAGGGTTTCATTATGTTGGCCAGGCTGGTCTCGAACTCCTGACCTCAAGTGATCCACCTGCCTTGGCCTCCCAAAGTGCTGGGATTACAGGCATGAGCCACCATGCTCAGCTGGAGCCATGTTCTAATCCCAGCTCTACTTATCACTAGCTATACAGTTTTGGGCAAGATATTAATACTTCAGCACTCTGAATCTCAGTGTCACCATCTATACAAACAGGACTGAGAACACCTACCTTTCACAGTTTTGGTGAGAATTAAAGGAGTTCATACATATGACATGTTCAGGACTGTGCTTAAGACAGCCTGTGCCCAACATGTGCCATTGCCTTTCCTTAGGCTCTGATTCAAAGAAATCACTTGATTTCTTCATGCCTCATCATCTCCAACCTGCAAAACTGACAAGATGTAATAATGCATTCAAGTTCTGTGAGGAAAAGTACAGTTATGTGAAAATTTTAAAAAAACAACATACACACACATAGACACATAAATTTTCTGACCCTCTACATGAGTGCCTCCTGAAGTGTAGTGAGGTTATGGCCTGCCCCGGACTACCTGTTAATACTATCAAAAGTGTGTGGCAGCCAGGCGCAGTGGCTCACACCTGTAACTCCCAGCACTTTGGGAGACCAAGGCAGGAGGATTGCTTAAGGCCAAGAGTTTAAACTCAGTGTGGGCAACATAGCGAGATCTGATCTCTACAAAAAATTTTAAAAATTAGCCAGGTGTGGTGGCACACAGTTGCAGTTCTAGCTACTTAGGAGGCTGAGGCAGAAGGATCACTTGAGCCCAGGAGTTTGAGGTTTCAGTGAGCTATGATTGCACCACTGCATTCCAGCCTAGGAGGGAGAGCTTGTCTCAAAAAAAGTCCAGGCATGGTGGCTCATGCCTGTAATCCCAGCACTTTGGGAGGCTGAGGTGAGCAAATCACTTGAGGTTAGGAGTTTGAGACCAGCCTGGTCAACATGGCAAAACTTCATCTC